CTGTTCGCTCTGTTGGAGGCAGCTGGTGCGGGCGCTTACGCAGATGATATTCAACAGCAACAGCGAGAGACGGTTGGTTCATACTTTCGGTTCAAAGAAATTGGATAGTTACCTTGCTTCCTTGTGACGAGAGCTAGTGCACTGAAGGTGATGTCGACCCCAGATTGATGGTATTGGTGTGATATTGACAGTAGTGTTAGTAATAGTAATAGGGAATATTGACGGAGCACCTGGATTCACTAACGTTTCGGCGCTATGGCCATCATCAGGGTAAAGTACAACCTTTCATTTATTTACTACTTATGCCAACAAAACATTGTTGAATTCTAAGTGATTCAATGAAGCATCTGATGATCCACGGCTGAGGATGCTGGAAATTTTAGGTGTCAGCGCATTTAGCAGCAAAAAGGTTCGAACGAAATTATCACAGTGATACAGAACCACTGAAGACGGCACATTCACCAAGCACAGGCACGAGTGGCGTTGCGATGGTGAGCGGTGACGAACGAGGCTATACCACCGATGATCCGCAGATACATCACGGTATTTATCCATATTTATTCCTATTTATCATCTTCTCTTGCACGCGCATTCTTTTTTAATTGAGTCAATGTTCACTTAGCGTACAAATTTGTTACTGGCAAAGAATTGCCTCATTCATCGATTCTACGATAACTCAGTCGAATAGATTGCTTATTGTTAGATATGTGTTCTTTTTTTGCGGAGAAAAGACTTAGCACGATGCAGCATTATGAAGTCAGTCGATCCGTAGTGCGCAATGTTGAAAGCAACATTTCGCCTATGGGTCAAATTCATAATGTTGCTTTTAGTTGATTCACTTTCGACAGATTCACATCAAGGTTCGTCGTATCCATTTGGCTGTGTTATTGCCGAATGTTGAAATATTTCAAATGATTCGATGTTTATATTGTGTTTGTTAAGGATCGATCTCATCAATCTCAACAATTTCCGAAGGTGCCGATAGTGCGATATCGTTAGCAAAAGATAGTACTGAGTGGATTCATTTGGATCATAGAGATGGTTTGTTGTTATGTGTTCGTTGAGCGAATCACGTATCGTTGTTGGTTACGTCTAAATTTTGTTTGGCTTTCACTAGAAACACGTCTCGAAATGCCTCTCATCTGCACCTTTTCACGCAAGAACTTCTCTAAAATGCTGAGCGAACGTGTGGAAGGACAAACTGTGAAATGTCATGTTGTACAACGGCAAGATAAAGAGTATTTTCGGCTTTTCAAAAGTTTTTCGCATTTTCAAATTCTAGTGAAGTAGAATGGTGAAGTGGTAGCCGTAGGATGGAAGATCACTTTTAAAAAATATCGGTATGCACATGTTTTCATTCACGCATTTGTTTACTTAACTTATAAGATTCGTTTTAGCAGCATTAGCTTTG